GCGATACCGCCCCGCTCCTTACCCTCACTCCTCCCTCGTCCTTCCTCCCTCCTTTTTTCCTCATCCTCCTTCCTCCTCTGACTCCTCCCCTTCTCCTTTCCTCCTTTCCGTTCTTCTCCCCATTCTCTTGCTGCTCTTCGCGCTCCCTTTTTTCCCCTGTTCCCATGCACGCTTGGGAACGCACGCCCAATAGGAGTAGAGAAGAGGCAGGAAGATGGAGAGAGGGACGGGGAGAAAGGGAGGAGGAGGAAGATGAGGAGGAGTAGGAGGAGGCGGATGACGAGGAGAGGAGAGTAAGGGTGGTGGGTGGGTGGGTGGGATGGCAGGAGGGAGGAAGGAGTCCCCATGGAGGAGGCGGGAGGGAGCATTGCAGTGTAGTGGTAATGCCCTGGAGCTTACGCGTGAGCCTGTGGAGGTGCTCATGAAGGTTGAATGACAAACCTTCTGGTCCCAGAGCATGCGCAGGGACTGTTGTTGGCACCTAGTTGGTGCATGGTATGCGTGGTCAGCATACCTCGGGACAGCCACCCCTGTTCGACACATTCGATAGCCATTACTGTATCGCCTCCTACCTTACGGGTGATCTGCCATAATGCGTGTCCCACGGCCTGATCAGAGGATGGGCTCGTATCCCCCAGAATAGCGGCAGACGCTGGCTCCCGAATCTTGTATAGGGGAGAAAAACAATGACATAAACATACAAAAACTCGGAGGCCCGCGCGGATTTGTCGGATCCGCGCTGGACCCCCTTGGCGGCGCCTCCGGCGCCGCCTCTGGCGCGCTCCGTGCGCCAGAGAGGGGAGTCAAGCGCCGATCCGAGAAGTCCGCGCGGACCTCCGAGTTTTTATGTTTATGTCATTCTTCGTTCCTCTTATTGTTGGGGGGACCGGGGCAGGTCACCGGGGGCAACACGGCAGGACGGCTTGCTGCCCTAGTTGGGACATGTGCGCCTGCTACACCGCAGGGAGGGTCGCCAGCCTGGCGGTGACGGGGGGGGGGCCCGCTCCGCATCGGGGCAGCATGGAGATCTGCTTTGCAGCAGGCCGCGGCGTCACCTTCGGGTTGACTCGAAAGCTGGGCGAAGGCTGGCAAATCCGTGGCTGCTGAAACAGTCTTCCCGGAAGAAAAACAAACTCCCGGAATACAACTCAGCGCGCTAAATTATAATCGGGCTGCTTCCCGGAAAGAAAAAACAAATTCTTTACGCTTCGCGTATCCCCACCAGCCCATCTCACAGCAGCAACTCTGGCGAAGCATGCCGACAGTCGTGTTTTTCAGGCGTGTGTCCGCTTGGCCCCGCATATCTCCCCTGTTCCTCCTTCCTCCCGCCTCCTTGTACATCCTCCTTGTGGGGGGAGCGGGAGAAGGACGAGGCGGAGGAGAAGGGAGAGAAAGCGCTCCTCGTGATTTGAGTCGTTTGGGGTTTCTCGTCCTGGTGTGAGTCGTTCGGGCCCTTCTTCCTGGTGTGAGTCGTTCGGGCTCTTCGTGGTGTGAGTCGTTCGGGCTCTTCGTCCTGGTGTGAGTCGTTCGGGCTTCTCGTGGTGTGAGTTGTTCGGGCCCCTCATCCTGGTGTGAGTCGTTCGGGCCCCTCCTCCTGGTGTGACTCGTTCGGGCTCCTCGTGGTGTGAGTCGTTCGGGGCCCGCGTCGTGGTGTGAGTCGTTCGGGCTCCTCGTGGTGTGAGTCGTTCGGGCGCCTCGTCCTGGTGTGAGTCGTTCGGGCCCCTCCTTGTGGTGTGAGTCGTTCGGGCTCTTCGTGGTGTGAGTCGTTCGGGCCCCTCGGCCTGGTGTGAGTCGTTCGGGCTCCTCGTGGGGCCTCTTGGGAGCCTCTTGGAGCCTCTTGGGGCCTCTGGGGGGCCTCTTGGGGGCCTCTGGGGGGCCTCTTGGGAGCCTCTTGGGGCCTCTTGAGGCCTCCTGGGGGCCTCTTGGGGGCCTCTTGGGGGCCTCTTGGGACCGCTTGGGCGCCTCTGGGGGGCCTCTTGGAGGCCTCTTGGGAGCCTCCTGGGGGCCTTTAGGGGGCCATCTTGGCCCCTCTGGGCGCTAGTGAGAGCTGCCCCCTGAAAAGGACAAAATGGGGCCAACACCTTCGTAAAAGCAATGATTTTGCTATGAAGGAAGATGAGCGCGGCCCCCCCAGGACGCCAAAATGGGGCCAAAACCGTAGTCAAATCAATGATTTTGGCTTTAAAGAAGAGCAGAGGGGCCAAACTGGGTCCCCCCGTCGGGGCCAGAATCCTCGTGAGGGTCGTCGTTTTTTAGCCCTCCCAGGAGTCGAAAAAGACCCCTCCAACGACCCGCGAAACCCCCTCTCCAGGTCCAGGGGGAGGGGGTAGGGGAGGGGTAAACCCCTCCCCGAAAGGGGAAGAAGGGGGGTTGAGGACAGAGAGAGCTCCCTAAACCACTCACGCCCAAAGGGCTGGTGGGATTCTTTACGCTTCGCGTATCCCCACCAGCCCATCTCACAGCAGCAACTCTTGCGAAGCATGCCGACAGTCGTGTTTTTCAGGCGTGTGTCCGCTTGGCCCCGCATATCTCCCCTGTTCCTCCTTCCTCCCGCCTCCTTGTACATCCTCCTTGTGGGGGGAGCGGGAGAAGGACGAGGCGGAGGAGGAGGGAGAGAAAGCGCTCCTCGTGATTTGAGTCGTTTGGGGTTTCTCGTCCTGGTGTCAGTCGTTCGGGCCCTTCTTCCTGGTGTGAGTCGTTCGGGCTCTTCGTGGTGTGAGTCGTTCGGGCTCTTCGTCCTGGTGTGAGTCGTTCGGGCTTCTCGTGGTGTGAGTTGTTCGGGCCCCTCATCCTGGTGTGAGTCGTTCGGGCCCCTCCTCCTGGTGTGACTCGTTCGGGCTCCTCGTGGTGTGAGTCGTTCGGGGCCCGCGTCGTGGTGTGAGTCGTTCGGGCTCCTCGTGGTGTGAGTCGTTCGGGCGCCTCGTCCTGGTGTGAGTCGTTCGGGCCCCTCCTTGTGGTGTGAGTCGTTCGGGCTCTTCGTGGTGTGAGTCGTTCGGGCCCCTCGTCCTGGTGTGAGTCGTTCGGGCTCCTCGTGGGGCCTCTTGGGGGCCTCTTGGAGCCTTTTGGGGCCTCGTGGGGGCCTCTTGGGGGCGTCTTGGGGGCCTCTTGGGCGCCTCGTGGGGCCTCTTGGGGCCTCTTGGGGGCCTCTTGGGGGCCTCTTGGGGGCCTCTTGGGGCCTCTTGGGGGCCTCTGGGGGGCCTCTTGGAGGCCTCTTGGGAGGCTCCTGGGGGCCTCTTGGGGCCATCTTGGGGCCTCTTGCGATCTCCTCAGAAGCGCAAAGGAGCGCTGCCCCCTGAGAAGGACAAAATGAGCCCCAAACCTTCGTAAAATCAATGATTTTGCTATGAAGGAAGATGAGCGCGGCCCCCTCAGGAGGCCAAAATGGGGCCAACACCCCAGTCAAATCAATGTTTTTGTCTTCAAAGACGAGTGGAGGGACCAAACTACCTCCCCCCCTCGAGAGCAGAATCCTCGTGAGGGTTGTCGTTTTTTGGCCCTCCCAGGAGTCGAAAACGACCCCCTTGATCCCACTCGGCCCGCCCTCTCCAGGTCCAGGGGAGGGGGTAGGGGGAGGGGTAAAACCCCTCCCCGAAGGGGAAGGTAGGGGGTTAGGGGGTTGAGGACAGAGCGGGCTCTCTAAACCACTCACGCCCAAAGGGCTGGTGGGATTCCTGGAGCTCCGTTCTAGCAGCTCCGGGTTTGCCAGCCTTCGCCTGGCTTCTGATTGACCAGGGGTGGCCTGCGCCACCGCAGGTCGGATCCCCACCCCAGGGGTGAGTGACACGGGTAGGCAGCTCGCAGGAAGGCCCGGTCGCCCCCCCCAAAGGGTGGACGGGGCGGACCTCCTCTGCTGCCGCTGGCGTTTCCGCTGTGAGGTGGCCAGAGGGACGGACCCGTTTCACAGGATGGCCGACCGTCACCCTGGCGGCTTCCGGGGTCAAGTCCACAGCTGGGCAACCTTCCACCTGAGGGGTGACACGGGGGCCCTGCTCTAACGCGGGTTAATCGCCGCTCTAGGGGTGGCGGCTAGTGGGCTCCCCAGCAAGATTCAATGCCAGCCTAAGAGTGACCGAGGGGCCTGCTCCACGGCAGTACGGATCATCGCCGCTCTCGGGGTGACGGTTAGGCGGCTCCCCAACGGGACTGATCGCCGGCCTGCTGTCGACAAAGGAAAGCGTGCTCCTCACCAGGGCGGAGCGCCACCCCTGGGGCAACAGGTTGGCGCGTGCTCGTCCGTAGAGTGATGACCGTTGTTCGATTGCTGGCCAAAATACAGGTCGATCCAACTACTTGCGCCCAGAGCGTCATTGCCCCCCCCCTGCGTTCGCAAGCATACGCTAGCGCAGAGTGTTATCCATTGCCCCCACTTAGCCGCTGATGCACCTCCCGGCAGTCGACTGCACCTCAGCGCTTTGGTTCTAGTTTATGTTGCGCTCAGGGCGTGCCGGCAATCTCAGCGGTCGCTGCCTCTGTGTGGTCGCCGCCGTTCTGACCAGGTTGACGTCACTATAGCCTCAGCCTGCCTGCCCGCCGCGCCCTCCAGACGACCTCGTTCCTCCTGCAGGTGCGGGTGGTGGCTGGATGCTATTTCTTAGGGGTTGTGACATGAGCTGCCCACGTTCCAGATGTCAGTCCAGAGGGGCGGTGACATAAGATGCCTCCCTGGCTCAAGCGACGCGGCGCAAGCGACGTGGCTCAAGCGTTTGCGTAAAAGTGTCCACCCACAGCGTTTGCATAACAGTGCCCCCCCACAGTGTTTGCGTACTCACGCCACCTCTCTAGGCAGCGATGGCTTCTTCCTCTTCCGTTCTGCTCCTCCGCCTCAGTGTCGGGGGCTTCATTCTTCTGCCTCGCAGTCGTGCTACGCTTTGTGCTTCCTGCGTCACAGCCGTGATGTGCTCATTTTGCCATCGCGCGCCATCGCAAGTGGGAGTATTTAGCACGGGCCCAACAGGGGCCCCGATGCTGTTTCAATGGCCATCGCGCCTCTCAGTTGCACG